TTAAATAAGGTGGATTATTAATAAAAACTGAGGAAACACAATCTGAGGTGTATGATTTATTAGCAAAACAAGCATATTAAATGGGTCAATGAACTCTCCAGTCAGTCCAAAGACCCTGAATACAGAGTGAGATGGATTTTTATGTATTAAAAACAATTAATCAAATAATATCAGTTAATTAAAAGGAAACCATTAGTAGGACACAAACTAGGATACAAAGTTAGGTAACCTGATTTCTAATTGGAAGAAAGATTAGAGGCTTTCCAAGTTGAGATGGGGGAAGAGTGAATCTTGGTCAAGTTAGACAGGTGGCAAGTAAGTTTCAAGATCTTTCTTTTCCCAGAATTAAGGAATGTGGATTAATTGCATCCACCTGCATTCATGAAACAATAGACGGCTTATACAATCTATTTTCCAATGGATGATTTGCAGAAAAACAAGAAGATGGAGAATACACATGGCAGCACAAGATGGAGCTGGTGTTCATGAGATAGATTCTGATTGACTCTCTTGATTCCCACACCAAACCAACTCCATTTTGTGACTGGCCTTCACTCTATCTCATGGAAACCAATGTCTAGTAGGAGAAAAGGAGACATACAAAAATGGGCTGTCTCAGGAGAAAGTGATTTCCCTCTCCTTGGAGGTTTTCAAGGAGAGGATAGATGATCAACCACCTCTGGCACATGTTGGAGTAGAGATAGAGTGTAAGCTCCTTCAGGGCAGGTAGCACAGTGCTGGGTACATAGTAGGCATGTAATAAATGCTCATTCACTGGTTTATATCCATTAAAATACAGTCTGGCTCTGAAATTCTGTGACTCTGTATTTACCAAGCTGGCAAAGTTTAAAGTCCAAGCTTGAGGATGGATGTACTTGGGCCATCCAAGGACCAGAGGGGCTCATCCCCAGAGGAGGGGCTAGCAGGGGCACCATTTTGTGGGGTTTGGGGAGAGGGATTGTTATTGTTTTGTCACAGTAGCCAATGAAGACCCAACTATTAATTCCATTTAGGTCAACGAACTTTTAGTAAGTCCCTGCTAGTTTCCAGGCCCTACATTAAGGCATAGGCAGCTACAGTCTGCATATGGGGAGAGAAGACCCATCCTCCTGAAATCACAGATAGCTGGAATATAATGTGCATAGTGTTTGAAGGCTGGTAAAGGATTTTACATATATTGCCTCATCTGATATAAGTACTTGTGTGACATTGGACAAGTCACTTAAGCTACCTGGGCCTCAGTTTCCTCATTTGTAAAGTAAGAGGATTGGATGATCCTGAGGTTCCTTCCAGCTCTAGAGAAGTGATATGATCTCTCTGCCTTCTCCTGAACTGTCCTCCACACCTAGAAAGTTCTCCCTCTTCACCTCTTAGCTTCCCTGGTTTCCTTCCAGACTCAGCTGAAATCCTACCTTCTTCAAGCAGCCTTTCCCAATCCCCCTAGCTCATACTGCCTTCTCCTCGAAGATTGCCTTCCATCTGTTCTGTGTAGATATCCTATATATACCTTGATATTTACATATTATCTTCCCTATTAGGCTGTCAACCTCTTGAGAGCAGAGACTGTTTTGTGTCTTTCTTTGAATCTCCAATGCTTGGCACAATGTCTGGCACATAGAAGACACTTAACAAATGCTTGTTACCTGACAGATACAATACACAGTAATATGAAAAGGTGTATGATATGGTGTTATTCTTAGAATCCTAGAATGTGAGTTAGAAAGGGCTTCAACTCAAAAGGCATCCAGCCCACCTCCTACTGGAACAGAATTCCCCTCCAAGATGTCCCCCAGCAAGTGGCCATCCAGCTTCTAGTTGAAGACATTCCCCTTCAAAATCACTCAGTATCTGTGGTGTCTATACCTCTTGGTACATATGGTCCCTCCTGATAGAATGTAAGCTCCTTGAGGCTAGGGACTGTTCACTGTTATCTTTGCATCCCCAGATCTTAGCACAGTGTCTGACCCAGACAAGCACTTAATAAATGTTTATTGATTGATTGGCCTCCAATGGAAGGGAACTTGCTGCCTTCCAGGGCAACCTGTTCAACATTTGGACAGCTTTTCGTTATATGGATCAAAAATCGACCTCTCTTCAATTTCCACCAGTTTCTCCTAGTTCTCCCTCCTGGGGGAGTCTAAGCCCTCTTCTGACTCTTTGGGGGTGGGAAACCAACCCTTTTAGGCATAACAGTGTAGGAGGTAAGAGAGTTTGGTCCCATCTGCAGTTCTGTTTGGAATGGAATATTGTATATCCTGTTGGACATAAGCAGTTGGTTGACAAATTTTGCTATTTTTTCCTCTTTCTTTTAATCTTTTTACAAGGTTCCCTGGGAGGTTGGATGGGGTCAAGTTTGTAGGGTAGTGGGGGAATGGGACAGAGATCAGAAATGAAGCCAAAATTAAAAAATATATAAATGTAAAAAAGAATGTTCTTCCAGTAATATGACAACTCGTTGGTCATTGAAAAACTAACACTAAAACTAACATTGAAAGACTAACACTTATACGATCAATATCTAAATTTCTGATTAGAGATCACCAAAAACTCCATCTTCATTAGCCCTGTCTGCCCAGACAGTGCTGTCTTTTTATTTTTTTCATGGATCACAGTGGCCAAAATCTTTCTCACCATACGGTCAGCTTTCCAGTGATGAGCTCAGCTAGGCTGGCCCTGGGTGGCAGGTACAGACTGTCACCGGGAAACTTCTCAAATCCTTCCTCGTTTGGAGGAGCCCATCACTGCTTAGAGTCTGCAAGCACAATTGACTTAACACGTTCAAAATCAAAATATTATATTGTGACTTTAATCATCAAAAACTGCAAACATTTCAATATACGAAGAAAAATAAGAAAGAGCATTGTAGAATAGACTATGGCCTTCCATTATGGACAGTTTTGTTTTTTAAATAAGTATATATTAACTTTGATAAGTTAATTGCAAAATTGCCCCATTTGTGTTCCTTCTGCTACTCTTTTTGCTTTCTTATTTGCACATTAAAAATTATTATTGATGCTTTTTTATTTCCTAACCCCACATCTCCCTCAAATAGAAACCCTCCTTTGTAACAATTTTATATCATCAACAACAAAAACCCATACTTCATGCTTATTTCAATCTATACTTCTAATCAAAATAGAATTCTTTATCTTTTCTCTTCCCCCCTCTGCCAAACTTCCTAGGAGAGCACCCGTCTCCTTCAGTTCACACCAGTTTCCAATCTCTTATTCCTCTTTAATTCTTCCTCACCCCTCATGACCAGTATTCACCGAAATGTCCCAACCTACTGAATCTCCTCCACAGTGTCTCTCGCAATTCCTCTTTCCTCTCCATTCACACGTGTACCATCCTGATTCCAGGCCTCTTTACTTCTCACCTGGACTATCTCACTAGCCTTCCAAGTGTTCTCTCTGTTTTTAATCTCTCCCTTCTCAAATTTATCAATAAATGAAATGAGTCAGGAGAATATATTAAGTATCTGTTATGTGTCAAGCATTGTACCTAGCACTGGTGACACGAAGACAAAAATAAAACAATCCTTCCCCTCAGGGTGCTTATATTCCATTGGGAAAGACAACATATCCATATATAATAATCATATATAGAATAAATGGATATGATATAAATACAAAAGGGCACCAGCCGTTGGAGGAGTCAGGAAAGGCATTGATGTTTGAGCAACGCTGTTCTCCACACAGCTACCACAGTGATATGTTGAAACCATGGGTCTAACAATGTCTCTCCCCCTAGTTAAAAATCTTCACTTGCTCCCTATTTCCTAAAAGAAAAGCCACAAAGTCCTCAGCTTGGCATTGAAAGCCCTTCACATTCTTTCTGCCTCTAACCTATCTCTTTTTTTAATAATAGTATTTTTTTTCCCAATTACACGTAAAGATAGTTTTCAACATTCGTTTTTGTAAGATTTTAAGTTCCAAATGTTCTCCCTCCTTTCCTCCCTCCCCTCCACCCTCCCCAAGATAGCAAGCAACCTGATATAGGCTATACATGTGCAATCATGGAAACATATTTCCACATTAGTCATGATGTGAAAGAAAAATCAGAACAAAAGGGAAAAACCACAAGAAAGAAAAAACGAACCAAAAAAAAAAGGTGAAAATAATATGTTCCACTCTGCATTCAGACTCCATAGTTCTTTCTCTGGATGTAGTTAGCATTTTCCATCACAAGTCTTTTGGAATTGCCCTGTATCATTGCGTTGCTGAGAAGAGCTAAGTCTATCATAGTTGATCATCGCACAATGTCCAACCTATCTTTCTGTCTTATCATTACTGTCTTTCACACATTCTGCATTCTAACTGAACTGGCCCACTTCTTGTTCCCCAGTCTAGCATTCCATCTCCCATCTTCATCCCTTTTCATAGGCTGTCCTGCGTGTCTAGAATGCTCTCACTCCCTAGCCCTGCTTCTTGGAATACCTCGCTTCCTTCATGGCTCAGCTAACATGCTACCTCTCACGTGAAGGTTTCCCTGATTCCCCTAGTTGTTGCTTCTCTCTCCCTCCTTAAATTCAGATTGTGTCCATCTACTTAAATGTTGTATCCCTCCCCGTAGAAGTGGGTAAGCTCCTTGAAGGCAGGAATTGTATTGATTTCTATCTTTGTATCCCCAGGACCCAGCACAGAACCCCACACATATCAGGTGTCTGATAAAAGCTTCCTGAACTGAACTGAAATAAGATGGATGGAAGACAAGTAAACAGAATTGTCTTCAAGAACCCAAGGTCTCGTCTACACCACTAGCAACTGAGTAGAGCCGTAATGAAAATATAAATGTACAAAAGGATGCCAAACTGGGCATGGTACTCATTTTATAGATAATCATCTCTTCACAGATGTTTTCCAAGTTCAAATTTTTATATATGTCAGGTTTCCTTAAGGCAAGATTCACTAACCAGTCCTGGGAGATTCTATAACAAGAGGTTTCTAAAGCCATTGAGATGGAGAAGGTGCTTATTGCTCCAATGGTTGGTGTCTCCCTAGCTCATCAAGACAGCAGAGTTGGACCCGAGCCAGAACTATATTGCTGGCTTCCACCCGCATGGCGTTCTGGCTGCCGGAGCCTTCACCAACTTCTGTACTGAAGGCACTGGTTTTTCTTCTGCGTTTCCTGGGATCCGCTCCCATCTGATGATGCTGACTTTGTGGTTCCGAATTCCCATCTTCAGGGATTATATCATGAGTGGAGGTATGTTTCTTCCCCTACCCATTTCCCCATTGCCAATCCCCACCCATACCTGATTTGCGAAGGAGAATATTTCTGCACAATGGTGGAACCTGGTTCACAAAGATAGAAAGACTCATTAAAAGAGACCAGCCAATAGTACTTATCCCTCTGCTGAGGCAATGGCCTCTGATATGCAGTGAGGGAGATTTTGATTAGATTTGGGTGGGGGAGGGGGAAGGGGAGTAGTAAGTGTTCAGTAATAAGTGTTGGGAGATGCTGAACCTAAACTGCCAGAGTCAGAAATACTGATCACTGGATCATAGCATGGAATGAGGGGACCCAGGTTCAAGTCCTAACTCAGCCATTTACTAACTATATTTCCTTAGGGAAGTCATTTAACTCAGTTTCCTCTGTAAAATAAAGGGTTTGGACTAGTTGATCTCTGAAGTAATTTCCAGCTCTAAATCTGTGAAACTATTAGAGACTTCATTTGTTAAGCATTTTCTACATTCCAGGAATGGTGCTAAGTGCTTGGGATACAAAAAAGGGCCAAAACAGTCCTTACCCTCAAGGAGCTTACAATCTAATGGGGGAGACAAGAAGCAGACAATTTTGTACGAACCAGATATATACAGGATAACTTGGAAGTAATTTCTAAGGGAAGGTGGGCCCAGATGTGTGCTCATAAATATTTGCCTAGCTTTCAGGTACCAGTATGATTTGTCTCCAGCACACCCCTAGAAGGCACTTACACTAAGCAGATAGTGGGATTTTAACTGAGCCTGGAAGGAACTCAGGGAAGCCAGGAGGCTGAGTCAAGAAAGGATACATTCTGTTCTTCCTAAAGTATTTATTTAGAAAAATGATTTCATGTTTCTGCATCTATCATGTAAAATTATTTTAGTGTCACATTATTGAGAAAGTTACTTAAAGAAAAACATAATATAACATTCTTCACTGTATAGCATGCTAAGTGTAAACCCAAGTTAAACACCTTGTTAATGGCCATTTGTAAATTAAAGTACTACCACTGGTCAATAGTTTTGTATGATTAATAGAACAAACAGATGTTATCTGCAAAAAAAAAAAAAGAAAAGAAAGGATACATTCTATATGTATAGCCTATATCAAGTTGCGTGCCCGTCTTGGGGAAGAAAGTAGGGAGCGGGAGAAAAATTTAAAACTCAAAAGTTTATGGAAGCGATTGTTGATAAAGCAAAATAAATTAATAAAAGAAAAAAAAAAGGAAAAGATACATTCTAGGCATGTGGGACAGCCAGTGAAAATGCCTGGGGTCAGGATATGGAGTGTCTTGTGCAAAGAACAGCAAGGAACCTAGCTTCTGTAGAGGCTAATGGTAGACAAGTACCAGCTTGCAAAGGACTTTGGAAACCAAACAGAGTTTTCCATTTGGTGCTGGAGGTAATAGGGGGTCACTGGAATATGTTGAGTAGGGAGAGTGATATGGGCAGTCCTGTACTTTAGGAAGATCACTGACAGAGGAGCAGAAGATGGGTTGAATTGGGGAGAGACTTGAAACAGGGAGAGCAGCCAGCAGGTTACTGCAATAATCCAGTAACGAGGTGATGAGGGCCTACACCAAGGTGGGGTCACATTCAGGGGAGGGAAGGGGACATCTACTAGAGAGGATACAAAGTGAGAGTGGCAGGACATGCAATGGATTGCTTAAGGGTGTGTAGGAGGGAGAGTGAGGGGTCAGGGCTGATGCCTAGGTTTCCAGCCTAGATAACTAGGACAGGGGTGTGGAACCTGCAACCTCGAGGCCACATGTGGCCCTCTAGATCCTCAAGTGCAGCCCTTTGACTTCATCCAAACTTCATATTTGTTCTGTTAAACTGTTCAGTCAAAGAGCTGCACTTGAGGATCCAGAAGGCCACAGCTCTGTGAAGTTTGGATTCAGTCAAAGGGCCACACTTGAGGATCTAGAAGGTGACAAGGCTGCAGGTTCCCCACCCCAGGACTGGGAAGATGGTGGGGCCCTTGCCAGCTGTAGCGAAGTTAGGAAGAGAGGAGGATTTGGGGGGAAAGATAATGAGTTCAATTTTGGACAAGCTGAGTTTAAAATGTCTATGGGACATCCAGTCTGAGATGTCCAACAGGGAGTTGGAGATTCAAATCCAGACATGATGAAAGAGGCTAGGGATAGATAAGTAGATCTGAAAATTATCTGCATAGAGATGATAATTGAATCCATGAGAGCTGATGAAATAACCAAGTGAAACAGTATAGGAGAAGAGAAAAGGACCTAAGACAAAGCTAGAATGACTTTCAGAGATCATAGACCTTAAAGATAGAAGCTCCTCATCTGTTTTACCTTCCCAGTTTGCAGATGAGAAAACTAAGGCCGAGAGAAGGGCTTTGGTTCAGTTGGGGTTACACAGATATCGAGTAGCAAAGCAGGGATTCTTCTGACCCAGCTCTTCTGACTCCAAATTCAATGGTGTTTCCATTGCGCTAAGCTGTTTTAAAGATTTATATGGAAGAAAGAGAATGTAGCCTTTGAAGAATTTCCACTTTCATAGAAGAGAGACATGGTCCTTTCTCCCAATCTGTGTTGTGTAGCAGAAGTACCAGACTCGGGTTTGAATCATTCTGGTCCCCTTACTAGCTGTGTAACTCTAAGAGTTTCTATCTGTCTCTGGGACTCAGTTTCTTCATCTGTAAATAAGTCGATTGAACTAGATGATATCTGAAGTTCCTTCTAACCCTAAATCCTTTTGATCTTATAATGAGTGATAGAGATCCCACACACGAAGTCCCAGCTGTGGTGGGAGAGATGTGGTCTCCGCCTTTGGGGAGCTCCAAGTCTGGGCAGATATGGTCCTCTCCCTGGGATGCCCAGTGTGGTGTCACAAACAAAGAAATGACAAAGAGGAAACTTTTTTCCAGAATGCGTATTGACAGTTTGACATGGACAAGATGCAAATTGAGTATGTAAGCACTGGGACATGCCCTGAGTGAAAGAATGAATTATTTGGGGGGAGGTGGTACAATACCAGTCAGCTTCCTCAGGGAGGGAAGTTTGGCAGTGGGTAAATAAGGTAGATCACTGAGGAGGGCAAGGAGAGTTTTCTAGATGAGAAGAATAGCAAATGCAAAGGCATAAACCATGGAATAGGTCAGCAGGAACAGAAGACAACTATTCTTTGCTAGAATAAGGGGTCTATCTAGAGGGGACATGAGAAAGACTGATGATATGAATAACTCATATTTCTATAACCACTTAAGGTATTCAATGCATTGTAAAGAACATCCCTGTAAAGAAAGTCATGCAAGTGTCCCTCTTTACAGAAAAGGAAACTAAGTCTGAGAGAAAGAAAATGGTTTACCCATAGCTACCAAGCTAGTAAGTTTCAGAGCTGGGATTCGAACCCAGGCTTCTTGACTCCAAGTCTGTTATTGTTTCCACTACACCTTGATGACCTTTGGAGCATGAAGATGTATTATAATATTTGTTCTGGAACACACCATAAACTCTCCCTTTCAGTTGCCTTCCCATATAACGACTGACCTGGGACCCCAAGGATACTGTGTCCCTTCCTGATTTGCACCTCCCTCAAGGGGACAAGGAGGGCCAAATTCTCATTGGGTATCATGAGACATTCTCATGTGGGTATCACCATCATGCAAGACCTGGTGTCTGTGTCTCCCTCTCTGTTCCCGAACCCCCACCTCCATCAGGTCTAGTCACATCAGAGAAGGAGTGTGTCTCATACCTGCTGAGCAAGAAGAGAGGTGGAAACTTGCTGGTGGTCATTGTGGGAGGGTCCCAGGAGGCCCTGGATGCTCGTCCTGGAAGCTACACACTACTACTGAGGAACCGGAAAGGATTTATTAAACTTGCTTTGCTTCACGGGTAAGGCCCGTTCTTGGTTTTTTAGTCACTCTAAGGCCAATATGTCTTATATTTGGGTGCTGAGATGCCAAGATAACTTACATTTTAATGAGGAGACTTTCAGTCCTGTGACAATACGGCTATCCCTTCCTTCTTAATTTTTTTTGGTCCCCAGTGCCTAGCACTGATTCCTGCTCAGGACTAAGTGGTCTTTAAAGCATCTCCTAACTCTGAGATTCTGTGATGTTGTGGGTACCTGAGGGGAACTTGGCAGATTAAGGGCTGAGTCTTGCCCTGTAAAGATGTTATCAGGGATTGTGGCCTCAGCTTTCCTCAGCACCCTTCAATGGCTGTTGACCAGAGCTCCTGAGAAGGAGCCTTGGGGCTGAACCCAGGACCCCTGTCTGCCTTGCATCTGAGTGCCCCAGGCATTGTCTCACCTCTGCCTCATCTCCTCTCCGTCTCTCTAGGGCGGCTCTGGTGCCGATGTTCTCCTCGTCCCACCTCTGCCTCTAGGGTGGCTGTGGTGCCGGTGTTCTCCTCGTCCCACCTCTGCCTCGTCCCCTCTCCGTCTCTCTAGGGCGGCTCTGGTGCCGATGTTCTCCTCTTCCCACCTCTGCCTCATCTCTTCTCCGTCTCTCTAGGGCAGCTCTGGTGCCGATATTCTCCTTTGGGGAGAATGAACTCTTTGACCAAATTGACAATCCCCAGGGGTCCTGGCTACGCTGGATCCAGGAGAAACTGCAGAAGATCATGGGCATCTCCCTCCCACTCTTCCACGGTCGAGGGATCTTCCAGTACAACTTTGGCCTGCTCCCGTACCGGCATCAGATCACTACTGTGGGTAAGTTACTAGGATGCCAAGGAATGTGGGACTGGCATGGGATGGGCCCCGAGTGTCCCACTCTTCAGGCTCCATTCTTGCCTATGTCCCACCATAGCCCCCATGTACAGCCACGTTCCCCTGCTGGTCTCTAAAATCACCTTCCATGGAAGCCAAAAGACAAAGAAATTCTGTGCTGAGATCATAGAACTTAAATCTGGCAGGAAATTTAGTCCAACATTTTCATTTTGCTGATGAGAAAACTGATGCCCAGAGAGCAAAAAGCAACCCTTTCCAAATTCACCTAGGCAGCAGGCAGCAAAATGGGAGTGCTCTTTTCATCTGTTTGGGTTGGAGTCAGGCGCCAACAAACAAGGACTTGTGGAATATCTAAGTTAGAAGGAGCCTCAAGGTCATCCAGCCCAAAGCACGGGTCCCCACCAAATGGACATCCAGATTCCATTTGCACATCTCCAGTTATGGGCAGCTCACTACCCCCAAGGCAGCCCACTGTACTTTGGGATGGCTTGGTTGTTAATCCTCTCTTCTTTTATGGCTTGAAAACAGGTATCTGCAAGTTAGACTTACAGTGTCATCGATTTACAGCTGAGAGACCTTAGAAATCATCCAGTCCAATCCCTTCATTTTACAGATGAGGAAACTGGGGCCTAGAAAGGCAAAGTGACTTTTCCCAGATCACATAGGCCGTAGGTGGCAGAACCAGGGTTCAGACCTGGACCACTGACTACAGGCTTTCCATTTTGTCATGTGTTTTTTCCTAAGTACTTCCCTCAGTATCCCTACTTCTGCCCCAGGGTAGGACTTATCTTCTTCTTCCACAAGAAAGCACTTTGTAAACCTTAAAGAGCTAATGTCAGTTATTGTTATAGGATCATAATAGAATACATTCAAATGTGAGCTCTTGTTATTATTAATAATAATAATAATTACTAGCATGAATATAGCACCTACTGTGAGCCACGCATAAACACTTTACAAATATTAACTCATTTGATCCTCTCAGGGAACTAGGAACTGTTATTATCCCCATTTTGCAGATGAGGAAACTGAGGCAGACAGTATGGAAGTGAACTGCCCAGGGTCACACAGCTAGTAAGTGTCTGAGGCTGAATTTGTTTTGTTTCTGTTTTTAGGCAATTGGAGTTAAGTGATTTGCCCAGGGTCACACAGCTAGTAAGTGTTAAGTGTTTGGTCTGAGGTGAATTTGAACTCAGGTCTTCCTGACTTCAGGGCTGGTGCTCTATCCACTGTGCCACCTAGCTGCCCCCTGAGGCTGAATTTGAACTCAGGTTTAGAGGCTTAGTGTCTACAACAAGGGAGATGATAATCTCACTGAACTTTGCTCTGATTAGACACTTCTGGAATATTTTATCCAGTTCTGGGGCTACATTTTAAGGAGGCTCAAAAAAATGAAATGCATCCAGAAGAGGATAAGAAAAAATAGTGAGAGGCTGGAAGATGAGATCATGTAAAAACTGGTTGAAGGAATTGAGGATGTATAGCCAGGAGAAGAAAAGATTGCTGGCTTCAAGGATCAAGATCTATTCTGTGGGAAAAGGATAAGATCGGGGCAGCTAGGTGGCACAGTGGATAGAGTGCTAGCCCTGGGGTCAGGAGGACCTGAATTCAAATCTAGCCTCAGACTCTTGATACTTACTAGAGGTGTGATCCTGGGCAAGTCACTTAACCCTGATTGCCTTGCCAAAAAAAAAAAAAGGATAAGATCTTTTCTCCTTGGCCCTAAAAGTTGCAGAAAAACAAATTTAAATTTAATGTCAAGAAAAACTTCCTACCCAACAACTCACAAAAGGGAGCTAAAAGCATGAGTGGGACAGAAGAGTTTGAAGGCACTTTTGGAGTCTAGAAAGTCAAGAACCAAGAAAAGGAGGGGAATGAAGGAAGGCCCTCGTGGCCCCTTCACAAAATGGAGCTTCCAGGAGGCATTCAGCGGTGGGAGCAGAGGGGCAAGCTTTGAAGAGGGATATCCCAGGGTGAACAAGGATGGTAGCATGTTCCAGAGTTATGGGTAGGCCCCAGATTCAAGGGAAATTCCAGGATGAGATAGCAGGATGTAGGATTTAGAAGTACAGAAAATCAGCAATAGAACTGGAAGGGACCTTTGAGATCAATTACTCCAATCTTTTTTTCATAGTTAAGTCAAATAAGGTTCCAGCAGTAATTACAAAATCAGAAAGCTAGGATTGTCACCCAAGTCCTTGAACCTCCAGTGCTACCACAGCACTCTGATGCTCTTCAAGATTTGTCATCATTATGTGCAAATTAAGAGTTAATTGGCACTGAGAGATGGCTGAAGCCTTGTCTGCTGAGGAAAGGACATGGACTTCGATGTGTGGACTTTATGACAGTTGTTTTGGCTGTTCAGAGGTTGTATTTGTTTCATGCTTGGTTCTTGGCTGTTTTCTGATGATGCTAGATAACTGATTTCTGGAAAGGGAGGTATTACTATATTAAATTATAGCGTAGTTTATTATCATTACAATGATTATTTTTATCATTATACTTTAATACCTCAAAAATATCCATGTGGGGCCTCTCTGCACACATAAAGATTATGGCTCTTCTGTACTTTGGTAGACTATTTGTTTAATGAGTTGTTGTGGCTGAAAATCTTGATCCCCTAGTGATAAGGCCCTCCCCATTTCCCTAGGCTGGTCCTTAGCAGTAGACCTATATTCAAAGTCTTTCCAGCTTAGTAGAATCTACCAGACTATTATCATCATTATTGTTGTTGCCATTATTAATAATTTTGGCTTCAGCATTTACTAGATAGACCTTGGGAGAGTCAGTCAATATCACTGAGCCTCAATTTCCTTATCTGTGAAGTGGGCATAATAATCTTTGCACTACTAACCTCATGCAGAGAGGGGGACATGGAATTAGGTGACACCTAGGGATAAAGTGGATAGAATTCTAGACCTAGAGTCAGGAAGATTTGAGTTCAAATTTGGTTTTAGAATTTAATAGCTGTGTGACCCTGGGTAAGTGATGACCTCTGTCTATCTCAATTATCCTCATATGCAAAATGGATATGACAGTAGCATCTACTTTCCAGGGCTGCTGTGAGGATAAAGATATGTAACAAAGTGTTTTCACTTTGCAAACGTTAAAGTGTTATAGAAATTCTAGCTATTATTATTATGCCAAGAGAAGAAGGACAGAAAGAGAGAGAGAGAAAGAAAGAGAGAGAGAGAGAGAGAGAGGAGTTAGGTGGCACACAGGCAATAGAGGTCAATAAAGTACCGGACCTGAAATCAGGAAGACCTGAGTTCAAATATGACCTCAAAAACATAGCCGTATGACCCTGGGCTAGTGACAACCTTCTTACTCAATTATCTTCTTATGCAAAATGGGTATAATAGCATCGACCTTCCAAGGTTGTTGTGAGGACAAAAAGATATAACATTTATAAAGCACTTTGCAAACTTTAGATAGGGATAGGGAGATGGAGAGACATGGAAAGAGAGAAAAAGGCAGAGACAGAGAGCATTTCTTAATCGCTTACTACGCACTATACTAATCATTGAGGATAGAAATACAAGCAAACAAGACAGCCCTTACCCTCAAGGAGTTTACATTCTGATGGAGAAAGACAAATATATCTAGGGGAACTAGAAAAGGGAGGGAGGGAAGGACCCACACAGGGGAAGAAGGTGTGAGAAGTTGCATGGTGGCCTGTGCCCTGGCAAGATGAGGCCCAGAACCTTACCTATAAGAGCCGGTGGCTTGAGCCAGGGAGGAGCAGTGGACAGGGTACTGGACTTGGAAGCAGGAAGACAGATTCTAATATTGCCTCAGATATGTTTGACCCTGGGCAAGTTACTTAGCCTCTCTGGGTCTCAGTTTCCTTGTCTGTAAAATAAGGGCCTTGGACTCACTGGCCTCTGAAGGTCCCTTCCATTTTTAAAATATGTGATGTTATGATACGTGGCCTTCATTTCAGCAGGAAGATTGCTTCACTGACTCTGCAGCTATTGGGTTAAATAGTAACAGGGGTGAACTCTCTCCTCTGGACCTTCTCTTTCTTATTGTTATTAAGTCTCTGTGACCCCTTTTGGGATTTTCTCAGCAAAGATACTGGAGTGGTTTGCCATTTACTTCTCCATTTCATTTGACAAATGAGGAACTAAGGCAAACAGGGTTAAGTGACTTGCCTAGGGTCACCCAGTAAGTGTCTCAGGCTGGATTTGAACTCAGGAGGATGAGTCATTCTGACTCCAGACCCAGTGCTCTGTGCACTGTGGCGCCACCTAGCTGTCCCTTCTCTCTATTACCAATGCCCATTTCAATCCTTAAGCATCCAGTAGCCCTAACCTTGAGAGCCTGAGCATCCATGGCACTTAGAAATGCTTCAAACACAACATGTCACTGGATGAATCCCATTTGGCAGGCAGAGAAACTGAGACCTTGTGTATTATTGGCCTAGGGTGCGCATATGATTGTTGGTGTGACTGTCAGTTTAGTCCCAATTTGCCCATTCACTGGATCTCTGCTTGTTGGGTGGGGGAAGTACATATGTCCTCTCACCCCCTCCCTCTGCTTTGTATCTCCCAGTGGGGAAACCCATCAAGGTGGAGCAAAATATGAACCCATCCCAAGAGGAGGTGGACTGTCTGCACCAGCGTTACATGACAGAACTATGCAACCTCTTTGAAGCCCACAAGGTCAAATACGACGTACCCCCAGAGCAGCACCTGGAGTTCCGATGAGCCCACCACCTCCCATGCTCCCCCTATGCCCCATCCTCGGATGACATCACAAGACAACGAAGCCCTGATTAGCAACTGTGGTGCCTATAGCAGCAGAAGAAACAATTCATATCCATCTTATTCATACTTAGAGGATCCTAGATTTAGAGGATAGAGAGTCCAACCCCTTATTTTACACATGAGGAAATGGAGGCCCAGAAACACGAAGTGACTTTCCCAAGGTCACGCAGCTAGTAAGTGTCAGAAACAGGATTCAAACTAAGGTCTTCTTGACTCCAAAGGCAACACTGTGTGCATTGACCTACTTAGCTGCTCCATAATTCATGATATGAAAAAATATAAAAAGTAATTAAGAAAGCTTCAATTGAGGGGTCATGGAAAGGTAAGCACATGAATGTGTTGTTGGGGAAGCTACAGATTAGTACAACTATTTTGGAAAGCAATCTGAAATCATTCAAACAAAGGGCTAAAACGTTCATGCCCTTGGTTCTAGAAATTCTGCTGCTAGTCATATATCCTGAGGAGGGCATTGATAAAAAGAAAGGCACCAGATACACCAAAGTATTGATAGCAGCACTTTTTTGTTAGCAAAGAACTAAAAATGAAGTAGCTGCCCATCTACTGGGGAACGGCTAAACAAACTATGGTCCATGAATGTAATGGAATATTCCTATGCTGTAATAAATTATATGTGTCGTGAATACAGAGAAGCATGGAAAGATCTACATGAACTGATGCAGAGTGAAGCAAGCAGACCCAAGAAAACAATATTCACAGTAACTACAACAATGCAAATAGAAAGAACAATCATAAACCAATCCAAAGAGCTCTGTGAAGACCCCTCCCCCACTCCATTGCAGGACAGGGCAGTGGTGGAGCATGGGTCTGGAATATTGCATCTATTGGCAATTTTTTCTATTTTTTTCTCATCTTCATTTTCTTTTTAAAGAAATCTTTTGTTATATGGGATGGCTCTCTGGGAGGTAGGAAGGCAGAGAAGGATTCCGGGGAAAATTCAGACAATGTGAAGACAAAAAAAAAATCAATAAAAATTTTGTTTTAAAAATCATTGTTTGAATGGGAATGGAATAAAGGATTTAATTACTAATTATAGAGTTGAGTCAGGTGTATGAGCCACACTCTCAGTTTCATTACTACAGAAGGAGGATTACTTTGCTAACTTGCATTGAATGATGAAAGATGAGTTCTGTACTATACGGCCTTTTCCACACTACCACTAGCGACTCTACCTCTAGGTATCTAGGGGCTGAAAGTTGTTGTTGTTCAATTGTGTCTAACTCTTTGTAATCCCATGGACCATAGCACACAAGGCCCTTCTATCATATGCTATCTCTTGAAGTCTGCCCAAGCTCATTTTCATTTCTTCCATGACACTACCTATCCATCTCATCTTCTGCCATCCCCTTTTCCTTTTGCCTTCAATCTTTCCCAACATCAAGGTCTTTTCCAATGAGTCCTGTCTTCTCATTATGTGGCCAAAGTGTTTAAGCTTCAGCTTCAATATTTGACTTCCCAGTAAACAGCCTGAATTAATTTCTTTCAGTATAGAATGATTTGATCTCCTTGCTGTCCAAGGGACTCTCGAAAGTCTTCTCCAGCACCACAGTTCAAAAGCATCGATTCTGCGGCACCAAGCTTTCCTTATAGTCCAACTCTTACAGCCATACGTTGTTGCCGGAAAAACTCCAGCTTTGACCATGCAGACTTTTGTTGGCAAAGTGACATCTCTGCTTTTTAGTATGCTGTCCAGATTTGCCACAGCTTTCATCTTTTCATTTCATGGCTGCACTCACCATCTACAGTGATCTTTGAGCCCAAGAATATAAAATTCAGCACTGATTCCACTTCTTCTCCCTCTATTTGCCAGGAAGGGATGGGACCAGTTGCCAAGATCTTAGTTTGGTTTTTTTTTTTGATGTTAATCCTCAAGCCAGCTTTTACACTCTCCTCTTTCACCCTCATGAAGAAGCTTCTTAATTCCTCTTCACTTTCTGCCATCTGAGTGGTATCATCTGCATGTCCGAGATTGTTGGAACTTCTCCCAGTAACTTTAATTCTAGCAATTGATTCATTCCCCCGGCACTTCACGTGATGTGTGTGTGATGAAGTGATCTGCATATTTGTTCCTTCAAAATTTTGCTGCCTTGAGGCAAAGTCCCGGTTGCCTGGCCTAATTATCACTCAGCAATGTAAATCATGGGTTCCCATAATGTTTTTACTTTGATGCCTTTGAAAGGCAATATTGGGTATTGGACTTGGAATCAAGAAGACCCGTGTTCAAATCCTGCCTCAGACACTTAATAGTTGTGTGACCTCTCTTGGCCTTAGTTTCCTCATTGTGAAAGGAATGGAATGGGCTCAGTAGCCTCTAATATTCCGTCTAGTTCTATGTTCCTGCATTGCCCCAGGCATTTCTCCTTGAACTTGAGATCCAGGAATCTTTTCTTCCCTGTCAGAGGTAGGGCAAAAGAGAAAATTGAGCACCCAGACCTAGACTAGGGGGGTGGGAAGGGAAGCTGCAGAAAACTTCCAGTGGTGGATGTCAAGTTGAGATGAGACCTCCAAAGCCCAATCACCTTCCTTTCTCTCTCTTCAAACTGCAGAATGTGAACATTTCTAGTCCCCATTGCCACACAAGAGTACAAGAAACTGTCCTCCCCCTGAAAAGACTTTGAGGATGGATAGAATACAAATTCCATGAATTTACTACCTGTACGACCATGGACTCTTCCCTTCTCTGGGCCTCAATTTCCTCATCTATCAAGCGAAAGGCTTAGACTAGATAGGATTCTTAACTTGAGGTCCACAGCTCCCTCCCAAGGGATCCGTAGACAGATGGAGTGAGATCATGAGGGAAAGAGAGTCAAAATATGAAATTTTACTTACAAGTTAGTAGAAACAGATACAATTTGCTTCAGTCCCATAGAAATTAATGGCACCTCCCATCAACCCACCCTGGAGAAACATGAAACCACTAGGTTTAGCAGACTTTGACATTTTACCTCCATTGTTTTGTTTGAACTCACCTGGGCCAATAAATTAATTTGTTGATACCGGTTCACTATGTGCTAAATATGTAAAAAGCTTCTACCTATAGTCATTGCTGGGTTGCCCCAGCCTCAGGCTGTGGGTCACTGAGGATGTCTGGACACAAAATCTGATGGCTTCTGTGATGCTGCGTATCCTTAGAGGCTGAGCAGCCTGAGAGCCTGGGTGTGGTCGGGGAGGGGCAGGAGGGCTACATAATCAGAAATGGCTCAATGTTGCCATGTGCATCCTTGGCCCATTCAACAGCAGGTTCATCTTGTCCTTGGCGAAGCCCAGTATCTGAGAGAGAGAGCCTATCACCACATTTGGTGATAGCTGACCCAGGGGCACCTAGCAGGCATGGTCAGGCATTAGTATCTTGTCCCCTGCAGGTCTACTTCTACTGTGCTCGGATGCTCTTCCTAGTTCAGCTCCCCTCTGGCAGAGGGCTAGGTAAAATAAAAACACACATAGTTATGACATAATATTACATGAACTCAGGATTTGGAGATCAGAACGCATGAATGAATAGAAAAATCATTCATTAAGCACTTATTCTGGACCAGGATTGTGCTAAGTAATGGGGGCATGAACATTAAAAAAAGAGAGAGAGAGCTAGTTCCTGTCTTCAAGTAGCTTACATTCTAACTGGGAAGACAATACATATAGTGGTGTCATAACTATCTGTGTATCTCCTCTCTAATCTGTTCTCAGCAGTTCAACTGTCCTCCAATGGATGGCGTTCATTCCAACCTCCTCCCACTCCCCTCACTCCCCTACCCTCTCCCTCTCTCATAGGCGACCAGCTATCTGACCTAGCCTTTATAGGACTAATTAGAAACCAGAAAATGACAATCATGTCCCCTCTAAGTCTTTATCTTCACAGTTTATCCAGCCATCCAGACATTTCACCTTCTGCTTACCTTCACTGACCTGCTCCTTCCTACTTGGATTAGCACCCTCCACACTAGACCTGAAACCTGGTCCTCCATACTTGGGTCTTCCTGAATCCAGGCTTATTCATCTTTGGAGTTCTTGACCTAAAGCCCAAGCTAGCTGATTGGTGACTGAGTTTGTACAAACTAGCCTATTTATCCTGTGAAAAACCTACTGTCTGGCGGTAAGCATCAGACAACTTTTCAGCCTCAAACCCCACGCAGCCATACCAGTACCTGCCTGATCTTCCTTCCTACCCATCCCCCTTCCCATCACTCCAGAACAAAACTCTCTTCCCTGGTCATCTCTCCCTTCTATGCATTGTCTTTCCCATTAAATGTAAGGTCCTTGAAGACAGAATCAGGTTTTGTGAAAAATCTTTATATCCCAGCATTTGGCACAGGGCCTAGAACAGAGTAAGTGCTTAATAAATATTCATTCTCTCCTCCACGTTAAACATCCCAACTTCCTTCTTATTATATATGCTGTAGCTATCTACGTTTCTTTCTTGTTCTTCTACTTTTATATTATAAGCTCCATAAAGGCATAATCTAATTCTTTCCCTTGAGGCTCCATATGCTTAATAATTGTTATTTTATTTAACCAATCACCCCGTGATCTGGTATCTAGTCCATTCACTGTCCTCGTTCACCTCCTCTGGACATACTCATCAGGGCCCTTCCTAAAATATGGTCCAAAAACTGAACGCATTATCCTTCTACACATGCACCATTGAGTCTAACTGAATCTTTCACTATTAGCTGACACACTTCTGAAACTTCCATACTTCCATGGCCTCAATGATTCTGTCTCCTGTACCTAAACTCCTTCCCTAAAGACATTTGCTCACCAGAAGTTTTCTCTACCAATGAAATCACAGCTCTTGTCTGAAAATATATATATATTGAAAGGTCCTCCCCTCCCACCCCATTCTGACACTCTATATTCTGCAACAGATTCCCTCTCATTGGAGGTCTCTTAACAATGGGCTGCATGAGCACTTGTGGAGGTATTGAAGAGGGAATGCCTGTATGATATAGGTTGGATGAGCTGAAAGAGATCTCTCCCTGCTGAGTTTCTGGCTCCCCTATCTCTGACATTTTGAGTGCTAAAGGCCCTTCCATCTATAACATCCTATACCATAAGGTCACTTCTAGACCTGACATTCTCAGTTCTAAGTTCCAGCTCTGACATTCTATACTAGAAAATCTCTTTCAGCTCTGCC